TTTCGATATTTTAAGTTTATGTAGTTTGGCAGCACTGTCCTTAATTACTATGCCAAAAATGAGCTCGATCTGTCAGACAGTTCGTTTACGGCAGCTGTTGAAACCAGTTCACCTCAGTAGTGCGTTGCGAAATGTCTTCGACGGTCGTACGACCGTCCTGGAAGGCTTTGTACCACTCATAAACTTGAGTTTTCGATAAAACTGATTCCCCATAAGCCTTTTGTAGCATTCGCAACGATTCTGCACACGAAATTTCGTTCGAAACACAAAATTTGATGCAAACTCTTTGTTCAATATTTTTTTCCATTGTTTTTTTCGCAACGCCCTACTGAGGTGAACTGGTTTCAACAGCTGCCGTAAACGAACTGTCTGACAGATCGCGCTCATTTTTGGCATAGTAATTAAGGACAGTGCTGCCAAACTACATAAACTTAAAATATCGAAAAATATACAGCGCGCGAATTTTAAATGAGAATTTCCGAAAACTTTTCGGTCTTAATGTAATGCTCTTTAAAGAGTGATCTTTGAATGATCTTTGCTCGAGATTTTTTAAAAACTTAGTCCCTAGAATGAATGTGCTCGATTGAAACAAAGCAGATGTGATGGACTTTCATCGTTTTTCCTTAACTGCCACAGGAATGATTAAAAGAGATAATTAATGTTCTAATATAGTTACCGAAAGGGTTGTGATCCGACAACAAATCTGTCATAAGACTGATGTCCTTCTTGATAACGTTTAGTCTTCCCATTTTATATTAAATTGCTCAATTCAGTTGGATTTCAACAAACTGTTGGTTTGATACCAATGATAAGCCCAAATCTTTTAAATGTAATACTGGGTTTTTTTATACACCCCCTTTGAGAAACTCGTCTACTCGGTACTACTTTATTATTTTGAATCCTTTAGCAAGCGATTTTGTTTTGATACTATGTAGACTTTATGGTTGATTCAATCTATGGTTCTTTTATATTAATTATAGGATTTCCATTTGAAGTCTATTTGCTACTTAAAATAAAATCATTTAGACTAACTTAATGGACAGTTATTGTATTACTAAGAGGCATTATCGGAATTTAGATAATTCAAATATG